ATAAAATATAATTTTATTATTAAACAAATTTATCATTAATTTATTACATGTTTTTAATTATTATTTATTATTCTTGAGGTTCTGAGAGCTATTAAATCTAAAAGCTAAGCTAAGCTTCTGCTATTTGAGTTATTGCTTCTGCTATTAAATCTAAGCTAAGATACAAGCTGTATTTATAAGTATTTGATAATTATAAAATGATCATTTGGAATGATCACTATCTAAAAATAACTATCCAATAAAATATAAATATGAAATTAACTAATAGAATATAATCCAATTAAATTTATGATATGAATTAACCAATAAAATAAGAACTAAATATTCATATTATAACACTAGTTAGTTTAGATCCTGGAAATCCTTGAATGATAGATATTCAATTTCTTCTGTCAAATTCTAGTGACTTGCTCTAAATTATTGTATAAATTTCCATGAGACCAAACTCTCAAAGGATGTTGCTTAAAATATATCGAAACATCAGTGTCAGCAGGTGCAAGATAATCTCCAGCATTACCAAAGTTGTCAGAGTTTAAATCAAAATCCACTATAAATGGCGAAACTCAAAAAGTGTGAGTGCTTGGCGAAATCCAAAAAGAATTATGTAAAGGCAAAATAAGTGCAAAATTCGAAAGAACTATATAGAGTAAAAAATACAAAAAAAAAGCGTTGGAACACGCATTCAAAGATTATCCTTGTAAAAAGGTAATCAGATAGTTTCGCGTTTACTAATTGTTCTGATTGGACACATGTAAATCCATCGCTAATTGGATGAAATTGATCATAGGGATACCAAGTAAAAATAGCATTGTTTTCATTTTGTCTTTTTTTTTTCACACAATATTGTTTGTTTTTATGTAATTTCTGTGAATTAACTTGGATATTTAGGTGTATGCATGCACTAATTGATTGTTCAGTGCATCGGATGATAAACCAGTATCGTAGTTTTCTTACATGATATAAAATTTTAGTATTCAGATCTAATGGCTAAGCTGAATCAACACCTAGTTAACCGATAACCATGAACAGTAGCCCTCACAGACTCACTCCCCGGATCATTCTCAAACATCGGCGCCATTCTATGCTCCAAAATCTTCTCCGCTGAAAGATTAAACGGTTGCTTAATAGCCAATTCAAAAAAATTCATATCACGATCTATGAGATTCGGTCGATGATGTGTAAAGAAGACGAGAATTTGTCCGTTTATCGGATCAATGCATTCTTTACATACACGTAAAAGTGAATGGTGTTGAGAGTGATTGAAAATTAAGTCTGATAGAATTATTGTGTCGAATTTTGTCCTGCCTGTTGGATCCAGTGAGTTAAGAAGAGGGGTTGTGTCTTTTCCCCATATATATCCCTGTTTATCGTTCAACTAAATATTAAAATTAAATAAATTGTAATAGTTATATAAAAAAATACTAACTTACCATAATTATAATTCTCTCACGATCTTTTTTATTAGGAAATATATTCGCAACATTATATTTTATATTATCTAATAATTGTTCATCCGGATAATCTGTAATAACAACCTTATGAAATCTAATCATTATTTCATCAATATTTATCTTTTAGTAAAAATAAAAGACATTAAAATATTTTTATTACCTTTTCAGCACCATTAATATTCGCAATCAATGAAGGTAACCCAGCACCAGCACCGAATTCCAATACATTTTTTCCACACACCAATTCTTTATTCTCATCCAAATAATTAGCCAAACATTTTGCCGCGTTCCATAAATAATGGCCCCAGAGTGGATGTGATCCCACAAGACGTACAATTATATCTTTGAATTTTGTGCTGTTGCTTTCTTAAACAATTATATATTATATATTTCGTATAGTATTAAAAATCATCAAATATCATTGAGTAGGTCTCAATTACCTCCTCCTCTTCCTTCTTGTTCTATTGTGAATTTAATGTCTCGAGTAAATGTTGTAAACGAAGGTGGAGGTGTTGATGGTTTAAAATCTGGTGGTTCCTTTTTATAAAATTTCCAATTAACTAACTTGATTAAAGATCAATCATTATAACTAAATACAGACCTCGAACAACAATAAATCTTGCTCATCAAATATTACTTGGTCGCTATCACGTGTCTGTGTAATCTATAAAGGAATTTATCAAGAGTATAGACCTTAAATATAACAAATACATCTTTAACTTACCTCTGTAAAATCCATACGGGCAAATGTCTATGCATATAAAAACTAGTTTCATCAGGGTCAAACACATGAGATATTTTAATAATCATTAATTTAATTGTTTCTTGAATAAATTAGATAACTTATTATTGTCATCATTTTATCATATATTTACATTCTCCAAAATGTCTTTAATAATAAATATTTTCGCGATTTACGAAAATCGTTTACCAGAGTACAAAAATGTCAGCTGGCGCACGTACTTTTTTAAGTCTATGAATATGCAGCTCAAAATTTATTAAGCCTGACATAATTCTGGCCAACATCTTTAATGCCAACTTATGCTAAGCATAATTTTGGCCAAATTTAAATGCTAAAATTATATAACTTGAAGGATCAATGAATTTGTAACCTCGATTATGCAAAAGTTCTAACTTTTTGATGTACTTGTAAAAATGGAATTTAAAACTAGAGTTAGATTAGGATTAATATTAGAATTAAAATTATGTTTTGATATTAATTAATCACATGATATTATATATAATATATAACTATATTATTGGCTCGCTTCGACCCGACTTTAATAATAAAAGGTGGGTCGCCAGGTCATTTTACATAGTCATGTGTTATGAAAACCAAAAAATTTTGTTCGTGTGGTCTTAGATTATCGTGATTTTCTGATATAAAATTACATCAGCAAAATTCTTATCACTTTCACTACTTTTTCTAATTACAATAATAAGCACAACGACAATGTCATTTCCAAATTTGATTTCTGGAGGAGCAGAGTGTGGTCCAGTTAACCCAACGACTGGATTAGTAAAACATTTAGTACAGGACAAGTCTCTTCAAAAGGTGAATATTAGATGTTGAGATTTATTACAAAGAGTGCTGTACCTTCTGTGTTCAAAATAAGCTTAGTAAATCGCTTCTTCCTCTATAGGATAGGTTTTTACGAGACCCTACCGGTGAAGGCTCTTCTCGAGGGGTAAGGTTTTTTTTTCACTTTGCTTGAAGCATTTCTTTAACTGAACTTTCTTAACTTTCTTATACCGAATTATAGGTATTTAGGACGCGCAGAAAAATACCCCTAGAAGAAAACCAGGTAGATAGACGTGTATTGATTAGACTTTTATTTAGATATAAAAAGCACTTAGAATAAATTTATTTGACTTTTGTTAGATTCCTGACCAATATTTTAATAATCAAACGCAAATTGATGAAGCTTTTCATTTTGACCAAATGGGTAAAGAGCTCAATGCGATGCAGCACGAGGTGACAACGATAAATACTAGTGATTGGGCAAATGAATTTCTAAAGCAAGCAAATACGAATCAACCACCTACTCTTCATAATCATGAACAAGAATATTTCGAGGAAATCTATTCACAGGGTGCTACTGCCCCCACCCAAGTTGATTGGGCCCAAGAATTTTCACAAATTACTCTCCAATCACACTTAAATAGCGAAAATCAAGAGTTATTACCCGAAGAAGAGGCAGCTTTTGAAAGAGCATTTGATGAGGCGAATAAGGGTATATATAGAATTAAAAATGACGCTACCGTTTGACTCTACATGATTAAGAGAATTAACAAATCTATATTCTATTTAGAGTTGGATGAGCAGTCTAAATTTAATATTGATGAGGGAACATCTTGGGCAGCAGAATTTGAAAAGGAACAAGAGGCCGAAATGTCAACTGATGAGTCTAAAACTAAATTAGCTATATCAGCCGGTAAATTAGTGGAAACAATAGAAGGCGAGACCAATCCAAAATTTAAGAATTCTGTATTTTTAAATTTTATGAAAAAGCTTCGTGATCAAGAACTTTCAGTCGAAGGGAACAAAATTGTTGAACAAAAGACTGCAGTGGCAATGCCAAAAAATGGATGGGTGTCTGAATTTGAGGCACAGCAACAGCAAAACCTTAATTGGGCAAATGAATTTAGTCAAACACAGAATAATAATAATAATACTATTACCACAAATTGGGCATCAGAATTTCAAACGGCAAATAGTAATGTATTCAAGGAACCTTCAAAAGCAATCTCTGATCGGGAAACTAACCTGCAAAAAGAACGGAAAAGATTTGATGAGGAATTTGAGAGACAATGGAATCAGAATTCCACTCGACAGCGAATATTAAGGTCTAAAGGATTAATAGACTGGACATCTGAATTTCAACAAACTGAACAAAATTCTTTAATGTCGGATAAACTCGAAATGAACAACTCCAATGAAGAATACGAACGTAAATGGAATGAATATGCTAAAAGAGAAAACTTTCTTCCACTATCAAATTTAATAAACTTACGAGCTGAGGCTGAAAAAATGGAATCTGAAGAGAGAAAAACAAAGAATGACTCTACGAAAAATATTGTAGATTCAAGTAATTTGGTCGAAGAGAACTTTAATGACTTTAATGTTGCTAAACTTACACAAGAATCGGGTGATATAGGGTGGGACGAATTACAAAGTGACTGGGATCGATACACACCGCATTATGCAGGCTATCAGTATTCAGACGAATATAAGAATTACAAATTTCAATCGAAAAATCCTTATCTTCCAACTCCCGATCATATTTTAAAACAAAGTGTACGGCACGGAAGTCTAAAAGAATCTATTTTAGCTTTGGAAGCAACTGTTCAATTGAAACCACTTGATGCTAATGCATGGCATTTACTTGGAATTCGGCAACAAGAAAATGAACAAGATATACGTGCAATTGCTGCTTTACGTAAAGCAGTATCCTTAAATCCTAAGCTTTCGGATGGGTGGATGGCTCTAGCAGTATCTTATACGAATCAGAATATGCGTTCAGAGATATACAACTCGTTAGAATCATGGCTACGAAATCATGATAAATATGCACAAATATATGAACGAGAGCGTGGCAAAGGACCAGTATTAAACCAGCACAAATTGATCACAGATTCATTTTTACAAGCTGCAATTTCTAATCCTCAGTACATCGATGCTGAAGTGCAAATAGGATTAGGAGTTTTATTTTATGTCTCGGAAGAGTATGATAAAGCAATTGATTGTTTACTAGCAGCCCTTTCAGTGAGACCCAATGTAAGATAGATGTATTATTTTAGATTTTTTAATTATGAAAACAGTTACTTTAACCATTTCTATGGTTATCATTGTCATTATTATTTAGGATTATTTAATATGGAATAAATTGGGCGCAACTTACGCAAATTCACACCGGCCGGAAAAATCCATGGACGCATATTTCAATGCACTTGAGATTAAACCGACTTTCATTCGAGCCCGATACAATCTTGCCGTCAGTTGCTTAAACTTGGGACAAATTCGAGAAGCTACGGAACATTTATTAGTATCTTTAGCATTGCAAGATTTGGATATTGAATTGGAATATGACGAATTATCGCATGAAGCTGAAAATGGTGGTGTTAGCTCGGCTGACAGACCTTTACGAGATCCAACGATCATGAGCTCTAATATTTGGGATACACTGAAAATGTGTTGTGTTTCTATGCATCGGCAAGATTTAGTGGCAAAGTGTGATCAAAGAGATTTAAAGGCATTTAGACAGCATTTTGATTTTTAATTTAATTTTGAATGTAAATTAGAAGCTATTAATTAATTAATTATTTAAGAATATCGGTAATGGTCTCTCTGATTTTTTATTATTATTTGTTCTTAAAGAAACAAAAACTGTGTGTGGTGTTTTTTCAAATATAAATTTCTCTTTGATCTAACAAAACGAAATTTAGCTGCTAATGTAATTGGTTCTTTTCCTCCTCTCAATCATCCCGCTTTGAAATGAAAATATTTACAAATACAATTTAAAATGTGTCTCGATTGTTCTTTTCCTAACGTCAATACTAAAATTGCTGTTACTCTTATACTAACATAATAGCTATGAAAAAGCTCGAAGTCAATACTCCAATAGTAACTGCTAGCACTGAAGTCGAACCTTTTCCATTGCTAGCATCACTTAACACCACTGAAGTCGCGGTGCTGCCTACTTGCTCAGTACTTGCACCGTTATTAACGGAATCGGCGGCGACTACGTTTATCGTTCCGGTCATTCCTTGCGCACAGTGTTTTCCAACTTGACAATAATAATACAGCTAAAAAATAAAAACGAGAAAAACTTTGAATAATATAATACGAGAAACAAATAAGAAAATGACAAATAACAAAATACTCGAATTACCTTTCCAATCTCACTACCAACTTTAATCGAGTAATTCTCGCTCACAAAACGACTATCCGTTTTGAACCCACCGTTCAAAGGACTACAAGATTTTGGCCCGGTTGATTGAGTTACTCCATGTGGTCCATTTAAGAAATTAAATGTTATCGTGTCGTTTGGCGCGACTGTTAGCATTGCAGGGTCAAATTTTAATCCGCCGTCTCCCACTCTTACTACCCATGTTGATGCTTCTACCTTTGTAGTTGTTGTGAAGAAAATCGTGATTATAAGCAGCCAAAAGAATCGAAATAGACCGGTGAAAGGTGATTTCTCTGAGTTGGATCGAAGATATTGCATTTTATTTATTTATTGATAAGTTTTGTTTGACTACTAACTAGCAATATTGTCAAGTGAATAAGAAATGTCCTTTACAAAACAAAAACTTGCGAGTCCAAAAGAAGAAAAGAACCAAATTAAAAAGAAGCCGCAATCCAGGCGGATACTTTAAAAACAGAAAAAGGAGAACAAAAAACACGCTTGCGCAAGAGACGACACTACAAAAAAAGTGAATCAATCGGCCATTTATCATTTTTACGCGTCATGTTTCGTGTTTGCATGGATGCATGCATGCAAATCTTCTAAATGTCCGAAAATGTGACATAAGGAATTGAACAATAAAGATATTATTAGATAGTATTATCGTTATTATTAGGTCAAACAAAACAAAATAAGGGAAAACATTGTTGGTTAAAAGAATGTTAGGAAAAAGAAAACCTATTATAAAGGAATCCATTCTAACTTTGTCATTAGCATTTGTTATTTATATTATTGAGTAACTTCTAATCATAGCGAGTCATTGATCGCCTGTAAATTTGTGTTAGTCACGTTGATTTCACATTCATGTATGTGATGTGATTGATCTATTGTCATCCGAAGAGTCATAGATTAATTACGAAATAGCATTATTCATGAAGAGTCACCAATAGTCATTTCATAATTAATGTTCATAAGGAGTCATCGATATGCTGAAATTTCGATAATTAATGACAAACAATTAATAATTTTGACTAATAAATCTGAATGATAAGATAATCTAAATGATAAACTAAAATCAATAGTTTATGAATTTTTTTCAAAAACAATTAAACAAAAATATGAAAGTTTGAATTCTTTGAATATTAAAAAAACCCCCCAATTTAGAAAGAAATGTACATTAAATATAAAGTATCAATAAGAGAAGAGTGTTATAATCAATCCACCTCACCCATTATCGCGAATCCCTATAATTGTTATTATACATGTGGTTTAATACGAAATCTACCCGGAGCATTTAATGAAACAGCAGGATAAACTTTCGATGGGATATCAGTCCAAGCAATTGGTTGTCGAACACCATCAATCGAAAATGCTACAGTCCTATTTGTCATATCCAAATGAACGGTTACAGTAGATCCTTTATCAAATATTGATCCATACGGAGTCGCCATATTTCCATGATAAGCAGATCCCGATGAACCCATTACCCATCCAGTTGCCTGTCCACCTAAAAAAACTGCGAGATTAACGCCTTCCGCGGCACATAAGCCGACCCAGGCATATCCGCAATTCTCCTCAATAACGACATCCCATTCGTAGTTTCCTGTGCCTGATATCGGTTCCGTAGCCCGAGCAGATTCATGGATTCCCAAACTTGGTGAAGCTTCAACAACAGTTCCATCTTTACTAACTATTAAATTTGGACCAATTGCCGATTGATCCCACCGGAAGAATGGTATCCCTCGTTTAGTAGAGCGAAGTACTTGATTAATTGAGTGGAACCGATAGGCTTTTAATAATTTATCTGCTGGTACTATTTGTAATGGTTCTATTACATTTGCCAGTATATCCGCGTGAATTAATCTAAAATCAACGTGACGAATTATTGGTGACAAACTTTTGATAATTAATGGTTGATATTGTGTTAATTGTGGATCGATTTCATCTTCATCGCCTCTTTCTGGCGCTGATTTCGAAATTACCTGATCGATTGTATTTGGTGGCGGTAAACTTGTATTAAAATATGTGACAGCATCAGGTGAAATTTGATTTGCAGCCCACAAGACGAGATATCGAATTACTCCATATTCAGTTGTAGCAAAATATTCTTGTTTGTCATCTAACGTTTGTTGCAATAATACTTCAAGCGCACTTGAATTCAGCTGATTATAACTAATCGAATCTAAGGGGGTTGTGGCAACACGTTTACTCAACAGTTTAAATAGCTTATTATCGTTCGACGAAGTCATTTTTTGTGCAATGACGGACAAAAGACTCGCGGCCATATCAACATCACTTTCCTGAATTATTTTCTGCGCAAATGCCAAGATGGTTTCCTGTAAATCAGGCAACGTAAAATAATCAGCAGCGTGATAAGATTCCATTACATTATCAATTGTCAATGCGCCATCCGAGATACTACCCGTATAAAGAAACTCTAGAATAACTTGCATTGCGGCCAATTTTATTGTCGGAAAAGTTATCTCGTCCTGTGATGTTTCTTTCATCCCGTTATAGAGTAAACGGTCAAGCATCTCGGAACGAATGGCCAAGATCATTTTGGACGCATATAGAACTTGTTCGCCCTCTTCTCCCGCCTTACTATCTTCACATAATATTTTTAAGTCGCTATACCGTGGATTATTTAATGCGAGTCGCAAGTCATTAGCGAGAGAACTTCCTCTGGTCATTTGTTTCTTTCAGTTGGGAAAAAAACCAAAGACTCTGCTTAGTTTCAAAAGACAAACTAGTTTAGCTGTTTTTAAAAGACACTCTATATTCCGCACCGGAATCACGCTAAAGGGAATGAAATTTTCTATTTTACAAAAATATGGTGACTTTTAATTAGCGTCAAATCAGGCCTTTACACAATGTAGTGAAACAACTAATTGCATGTGACAAAAAAGTCCAAAGAAAAAATAGAACTCGTACACATAGCATCTCATGCAAAACGTAAAAGCAAAAAAAGCAACAATATCGATATCGATATCGATATAATTTCTTGATGGGGTAATGAATCATGATACCTGAAATAGTTACATAAAGACGCTGACGTTATAACTGAAACAAAAAGCCATCAATTGTCGCCATCATTGACATTGCTATTATGCATGCATACATACACAACATACGGTGATGAGCCGTTTTCTTCTGTATGTATGTCTGGTATTAAAAATAATGATTATTTTGGAACTCACAGTAAGGATAAAAAAAACGCGGGATTTCTGCTGTCTTGCTGTTGTCTTGCTGTAATATATAGATATATAAATTAAAGACAGCGAGATTGAAATGATGATAATTCTTGTCTTAAAGACTGGATTTAATTTTAATTTTTTTTTTGTAAAACGGACACAATTGTGTATATGTATGTACATGCGCAGGTACGATCTTTAGGCGATAATAAAAGTTTATAAATTCAATTGGTGTACAAGTCAGTCTCAAGAGAAAAGACGCAAATTATAATTTTCTTTCTTCTCTAATAATGTCGTCATAATTAATTATTGGTTTATCTTAATTTCTATACGTACAAAAGAAATACTTAGCAAAAGCCGAAAATAATAATGAGCGAGCATCAGAAGCAACAACAATTATTTCCAGATTATTACTCTTTCTCGTTCTTACAAAATGACCATGAGAGTATATCCCCCAGTTCGATAGATCCTTACCCATATTATGATGGTTTAATTTCAACATCGTTAATAACCATCACAATTTTCATCGTTCTCTTTTTCGTTCTCATAATAATTAGAAATCGTTTACAAAACTTTCAACGTTATCTTTACTATGAAAAATTAGAGGAGGTTGAAGAGTACATGAGTTATAATAATAACAGTCGTCGTTGTCGTCGTCGTAATGAAGAACAGGCATCGATAATAACGCCAGTTAACTTTGGTGTAGAAAATGAGCAGCAAAATAACATCAACAACAGCAACAACGCCAATAACCACAACGATAATAGCAGCAGCAGCAGCAGCAGCAGCAACAACAGCAATAATGATAATAGTAACAACAATGATGATAGTGATAGTAACAATGATAGAGATGAAGAGGAGACGCACAACTTGGTTGAATATTTTCGATCGACTAATGCAAATAATCACAGTATCATTACGCGTACAGATAACAATAATAAGCGAAATGCCGTTAATCATCATAATGAAGTGGTATTACATTTCACCACATTCAATGAGAATACTAAGAACATCAATGATAATGAACAATTAGTATTGTTGGAGAGTTTTACATTTGACAGAGAACAATCTATCAATTATACTATCACTAACGATTCTACTACTACTACTACTACTAATAATAATAATTCCAGCTATAGTGCCAGTTGTAGTAGTAATAGCACCAACGAGTCAATTTTAATTCATACTCCGTTATCTTCGTCAATTATAGCATCAAACAATTATTCTGCTGTGACCAATAACAATCCTATTGTTAATATTTCTTCGATACCAGATTTTTCGAAAACTCGATTAATACCCGTAATCGAGAGTAAAGATGACTCATATATCAATTACCAATCATTACAAAAAAGACCAACCACCACCAAAACACAGCATTTACGAGCATTACACGAGAAAGAGGATTCGATTAGTGTAATGACTGATATCGATGATGATTACGATGAAAATCGTAGCATCAGTGATACCCCTCCTATGAAGTCAGAGGATAACAACATTGTCAATAAAAAATTTAACGATGATTGGCAATTGCGATTCGTTGATAGTCCCGAGGATGGTGTCATCGAAAGGTTCAACACGGCAAGAAGGAATACAGTAAGCATCTCAAAGGGAATTAGTGCTACTAGGGTTGAAGAGAGACTGCCGTATGTTATGCTGAATATCGAGAATTATAATTGGCGGGATTGTGTAGATGTTGGACTAGAATGATTCTTTCTAGATTAATGTATTTTAGTATTACATAATTGTTATTTCGCTTTACAATAGAAATAGGATGAATTTCTCATCTTGTAAATAAAACTATTTCTCGAAATATCAAAAAATACGTTATATAATAAATTGTAAACTATATACGTATACTATAGATAAATGACGCGTTACGTCACAGCAAATAATTATATTCAACTTCTTTTTCTACCGATAAAGGAACAACTAGCCTGCGAGATTTAGAAACTCCAATCAGCTCTTTAAGAAAAACATCTTTCTCAATCATCATCACTTTTACAGAAATCTCGGCAACAAGTAGCCAGCTTTCAATCAGCAAACCCCATATAAACCAAATTCCATATTCCCGTTGAAACCATCTCGGCATCCACTTTATCAATCGCCAAATCAAATACAGTTTGCTCCCTTCCAGAAAAACGGACCCGGAATATAACAAGTAGAAAGGATATCGTAGGAGATAATAAAACCCATATTGATGATCTCCTGTTGTTGTTGGCTGTTGGTTATTTGAAGAAAGAGTTTTGAGGCTCCATACACTGAATAAACCACCCAGAATTCCGAGTGAGATGAAAATTAGATCAGATAACGTCCATGAAGAGAGCGGAGGAAAAGGCGGATGTTGAGCATATGGTGATTGGCAGAGTCGCCCTGGTTTTATCATGCGACAATTATCTGATACTTGTTCAATGCAGATAAAATACATATTGGCAAGAATAAAGAGAGTATAAGAGTATTTTCGAAATTCAATGAATAATGATAAAGGGCGTAGTGATGATGAAATGGAAATTATTTCATGCTTATTTGAATCTGATGTTTTGTTTGTTGGTGATGGATGCTTAAAAGTTGTAGTCACAGTGACAATTGAAGCGTACCACATCAAACTTGTTTGTAGTAAAAGTGCAAATACTTTTAAATACATTATTGTCGTTTTTACTGAATTGACTACAGAGAACTCAATTATATATTAACGATTCGATATTGATTATTTGATGTGATCTTTTTAAAAAACATCAATCACTGGGATTAGATAAAGATTTATGACATATTTGGGCATGATGTAAATTGTAATTCACTTGTAGATTAGTTCTATTTTATATAAGCGCATTAAAATGTATTGCTTAACGTTAATAGTGAATAAATAAATCTGTCGATTTTCCATAAAAAAACGAATGGGCCTAAGCCAATCCATAAAAAATGTACATTTTTTTTCTCTTATTGATTTAATAAAATATATTGGGTGAAACTAGGCATAATTCCAAAAGAGTACATTGAATGTTGGCCAAAAATCAACAACAAAATACACGAATAGTCCCGGAAATAAGCACTACCCCCCCCAAGTTTAGAGTTCAACCTCCCAATAACGATAAACACCACCACTTTATAATATATCTGAAATTTAATAGCTGATAATATTTATTCTTCTTCAAATTCAGAGGCTGATACATCATTTTCTTTGACGATTCATCATTTGTACCATCCATGGTCATATTATACCGAACGCTAAAAAATCAGTTATTTTAAATTTTAAAAATAGCGAAAAACAAAAATTATATTGATAGATACTTATCGCTATTCTTTTAATGAATAAAATCCGCTTACCTTTAGTCGCTTATAATTCTTCAATGGCGAGATATTCAAATCTCGCAATTTCCTTTCAGTGTACGATTTCCTAAGTGTGCCACTGTATACTGATCGATTATATGTGCGCGCTCGGATAGTTGGTTTAGAGATTACATTTTCGGGAAAAATTGTCCAGTTTAAGCACCACCCCTCAAAATTAGGCTCCAAAAAGTGGTGCTTATTTCCGGACTATAAGGTATGCTGAATTATATCGAAATCACAATGTATTTATGCAAAATTGCAAAATTATGCCTGAATTTAACTTTATTTGTCTCAAATTATTGATTTGATTTTCTCATACTAACACTAAGCAAAGAATTGTATATAGGATATCTTGAAATGTAAATATATACGCGCGTTTCTTAGTGTGTAACAATTTCTTTTAACCGTAGTAAGCCTGTGGCTGAATGCGAAATGCACTACATAAATTACTTGCCGTATTTTTAATACAAAAATCATGTGTACATTTATACACACTAATACACTTTGATCCAAACGAAACAAAAATTTTGTTTCCACTCAGTATGTTTAACAATTACATCATCATAATCCTATCGCTATATAGTTTCCAAATACGTATGTTGAAATGCTATTCAACTTGCTTATTAGTCTATCTCAACATCAGTAACGGTAACAGAAAACAATGTAGCGTGTGTAATGTGACGCAAATCTTTTAAATTCTATAAACTTCTTAACTAGGAAGTAGATGCAAAATTTAATCCACATTATTATAGATTAAACCTTTCCTAATCATACGTATTTGCGGTTTAAATTTTTATTTATATACCTCTTAGTTAAGAAGTTATAGAATTTCAAACACACAATTTATTGTCGTTTATATGGGATATACTGCAACAAGACGAGGCTACAAAGGGTTCAAAAATTTTCCGTAAGACGCCACAATGTGAATCTGCTGCCTGTTTCCTGATCAAATGAAAATGTGTGACCAATAAGGATGCGCCCATCTGTGAGAATTTCGTGGTGCAGAACTTTGTTTATTTGTGGCCGATACTGCATTCGATTATGAAAAAACAAAAAAACACTGACCTTTCAGAATATAAAAGTTGAAAATAAATACGATCACTGTTTTTCGAAGAAACTCGGGATAGATTAATCTCTGACTAAACACAAGTTTTTTTTTGAGATTAATACCGATACGCGCAAATTTTGATCAGCCCAGCAAAACAAGAAATTTTACATGCGGTCAAAATTATTTTGGCAACATGTATAATTATATGTATGTTATTATACACGTTGCCAAAGTTATCGAGTCGATCGATACAATCAACTGAGCCATTGATGCAATTAATTTGAGTCAAGGCTAAAATAATTTGATTGCGTGTATAATTATTACCAAAAATAAATTATCTTTTTAATAAAACTATATTGTCTACATTACGTAGATAGTCAAGAACAATAAACATTGGAGATTATATTAGTCAAAAAGATCATTTAACTTACATTCTCTTACTAAAAAAAGATTTGAAACACATTTTAAATTACTCAAAGCAAAAAATGCAATAATTATTATTATGAATACAGTCAAACTCTTCTATAATCACTTTTATTATATAAATTTATTGCTATAATTATACTCTTTTCAAAATCAATTATAATAAAATTATAAGTTTCTTATTTAATAAGGATAAAAATATAAAAAATCATTGAATTTATTAATAAATATGATAAAAATTGAATTTTTCTCTATATATTTTTTTTATAATATAATTTTATTAATTAGATTAAAAAACAGATTATTTTTTGTTAATAAAATATAGTTTTTAGAATGTACAAATTTGAACTCAAAATTATAAATAATATTTGAATCCATAATAAAATCAAAATTATTTGATTTTATCTAGAATTATTAATTTATTGAATTTTGGCAATAATATTTATAAAACGTTAACATTTCTAATATGGTGCATAACATCTAAAGTCATCAAACGTTTGTATTTTACAAAATGTATAAACATCTTTACTAAGGAGTAAATATAAAATTTAATCCGTGAATATGCTCAGAAATGGCCTATTCTATCATATTCACGGATTAAATTTTGCATTTAGTTCTTTGTAAAGATGTTTATACATTTTGTAAAATACAAACGTTTGATGACTTTAGATGTTATGCACAATACCATCATTTTTCTTGGAATTAATATCACTCATGATTAGGATTCTCTCGAGTATCTAAAATTCTATTATTCCGATATCGATATCAAGATTGCCAAAGAAATACATGTAGATAAAATCGCGAACGATCTATAAATTTTTTTGTGCAAATGTCACCCTAAAAAATGTTCCATACAATCAGTCGTTGGGGGTGTTGCATGTATATATTACACATGTACACAGGTAATTGTAAAAGTAAAAGTAATTGTTATTATTTTTTGTGCACGAACGATAAAAGATTAGCGAGTTGAACGATTGGCATTAAACCAATATAGAAAGTATAATCTATTAATAATAATAATAATAATAATAGGCGTTTTGTTTTAATATTGTTGCTTTAAAATTATCGCGAGAAACTTGGTTGATTTGATCGATGATAATCACGATATTTTTTTCTATACGTTAACATTAACATTAGTAGTGGAAGAGTACTTGCTATACGCCAAGTAAGTAAAATAATAAATTGAAAAATTAAGTTTCTTGCGTAACCAGATAATTGTCTTTGTTCTACCAGCAACCATTATATGCGAATAAAAAATTAAGGGGCATGTCTAGAATGTAAGAAGTTTGTTCTCTCGTCTCTTTAGTATTCAGCTTTGTTTAAATTCCACCCTTTCTCATATAATCGGATTATGATTTATTATTGAAAGATTTCTTGAATTTGTTTCTAGTTGGTAACAGGAGTTCGACGCCTTTCTTTCCAAATTAAGAAATTATCTTCAAGATAAAGCATTGATGGAAAAAAAATACCATGCACAATGACGAAGGAAAAAATCTCATTCATCAATTTGGTTCCTGTTAGTTTCCCGCCAAGAATGTGTCCATCACGCAAAGTGTCATTATTAAAAAAATTCCCATTGGATCAATCACAAGGAACTATATGTTTCGGAACAGTAAATAGAATAATAATAAATAAACAAAAACCACTTTGTCAAACTTATTGGCTGTTGTCGGCTAAGGTGTGATGCGAGGTTACTATTGGTGAAACGAAAAAAGGCATAACAAAGAAAAAAAGACGCGTGTAAACAATAAAATAAGACCATTTTTTACAACATGGACGTGACACATGCACGCACACACATTAAAGAATAGAATATAATAGAATACAAGTTTGTTTTGTAACAACATTGGCGTAAAAATAATAATAAAGATGTTCCTTTTTTGGATGTATTATAGGTTAATTAACACCGACATGTCCATAAATCCTTTAAATAACAATAATCGTAATACCCTGTATTCTGTTCGAGACCAATTTAAATACACTGGCTTTCCTCAGTTAGAATTTTCTCTTTACGTGCCAAATTCACTTTTTTTTTTGTTACACGATTAAACAAATTACGACGTATATTTTCTTGTACATATTCTGTAGATAATTCTTATCTTTATTATAAATTAACGTATAAAACACACAAGGATGACATTCTTCCCTGTTATTATTAAAATTGCCAATGTTTTGGCTTATTTTTGCCTTCTCAGTGCTAATATTTACTCCGTAGCTGGCCCTGATCAAGTAAGTAAAAGAACTACCATAATTGGATCCCTAATTTGAATATTAAATTAAATTTTGTCGTTCTCACTGTTATATTTAGGATGAATCTCCATGGCATGAAAACCATCCGACATACATCACTCCAGCAATATATGCATTCTATATTTGGGGTATCATTCACTTCCTCTTTGGTGGTTTCATCATCTATCAATTCTTTTCCTCAGCAACTGAAACAGTCACCGAAGGCATCCACTGGCACTTTGTTTCAATCTCCCTATGGAATACTCTCTGGCTCTGGCTCTGGCAAAATGACCATCTCTTCCTCTCTTTCATTGTAATCCTTATCACCGGTTCACAAGTTTCTTTCGTCTACTACAACGTCCGTAACAAATTCCATGCTCAGGGTATTAATGACCAACTCTGGATTCATGCTCCGTTCTCACTTTACCACGCCTGGATCTTGGTCATTGTTATCATCAATCTCTTTGCTGCATTCACCCAAGAAGCTGAAGAGGATGAGAAACCAAAACTTATCACTAAAATCTTGGTCTTCCTTGGTTTATTCTTCCTCCAATCAACCGCTGTCAGTTATATTGAATACTTCAAAGGTGATTTCGCCGGTTCTCTCGTCATCGCCTGGACCTTGTTCACCATCTATCTTGGACAATCTGACAAATTCATTAGCTGGTCGGCATTAGTATTTACCGTTTTCACTATCTTCCATTCACTCAAACCTCTCGTCAAGAAATACTTCTTTTCTTCACACGAAGAAACTGCACCATTGTTGGGATAAAAAAAGTAGAAAAATTATTTAGCTTTTCTATATTTTCATCATTTAATTGTCACTTTGCAAAAATGTTGTAATGTGATGGCATCATAAATTATTAAATTATTGTTTATTATTTATTTATTTATTTATTTATTTATTGAATATCATAAAAATTTAACGAAAATTCCGTTTTTTCACAAATATATTTATTCCTGTGTGAATGTTAAACATAATCAAGTAATTCCTGTAAAAATGAGCTTTTGACTTGAAATGATTGCGTGAAAGATTAACTGATAATGTCAAATATCAATCTTATCAATGCTGCCTTTCAATCTTTGCATTTAAGGCTAAAACGTATACCTTATTTTGAAGAAGAAGACCAATGTATGTTGTTGATCTATATCATACAAAAATAAGCATAAATTAGTTATTAGGTAATAAAGGATCCGTCATCGGAGAAACCGAAACGAGAAGTTGAATAAATGTAATGATAATCTTTCTATATGCACGAACCTTCCATTGAGTCACACAAATATGCATCTAATTAAAAAATTATGCTTAATTTTTGTTATACAAGCAAATGGTTATAAACAAACGAGAACAGGAAAAACCAAGTTTCGTTTTTTTGTACTTTAGCCATTATCGATGCGAAAATCGCCGAGATTATTCGAATGAAAGAACGTTAGAATGAATGGATAAGAGAAGCAACAGATGGAAACAAAAAGGAGCATGTAAGAACTTTATTTTATATACATTTAAAATAATGCTATTGTATAAATGTTATCTTTTTTTGTCTATCGCTATTCTTTCACATATTGAAATATGTACACAGTAAAATATACATATATATAAAAAATTCGATAAACTGGTCGGTCAACTAGCTAAATCCGGTTTATCGAGATTTATCGAGTGAAATTTATAATCGTTTTACACTTCAATCCGGTCTATCGTGATTGGTCTTCGCTTTATCGAGAGTCCGGCCTACCTTTCAATTACTATATATAGTACACATGCGAGGACTCTGTCTAGTATTGTCACGTGACATAAAAAGTGATTTCTTATTGAAAAACTAAAAAGCGCAAATTCATTCGATTTATTATACAGAATTATTAATAATCTGCGATGATCAAAGTAAAAAATTGTCTTAATATTTTTACAAAGTACTCTATTTGAAATACAAAACAAAAATGATTTACAACGTATAATTAGCAAAGTGTAGATCGCTGTCCAATCTCGTGGCTTGATATTCCACTTGGCATCTCACCATTCCGTCCGGTGATAAATTCATTATATCTAGAAATGTGCGAAACACCAGACGATTATGTATAAACTAACGGAATAAAAAACAAAATTCAATGGGGAGCTTACATCTCTGCTAATCTTCTAAATTCTTCTGGAGTTATCGAAGGACGCGTATTTCCCAGTGAATTTTCTAGGTGTTGATTCTTTATAAAAGACTGCATTTATGTGAAAATAAACAAAATATTATTAATATAAATTCTTAGATATATATTAGAGAATTAATAATTCTTAAAATCATTACTAGTTTCTTTTCTTCTACTCTAGTCTCTATTTTGTCTTTTTGTATTTTTGGACCGAATCCTTTTCGAATTAAAGCCAGCTAAAAAATATTCGAATTGAATTTAATTTAGTAAGAAAAAGAAAAAAATTAATTATATACTAATATAATTACTCTTTGAGAAATAAGTGATTTCTCTGCTAATGTCAAAGATGGTTTCGAAGTTTTTGTGTTGGCTTGAAACATTGTGAATTTCAAATCACTAGTATCCGAATTCGATGTATTATTCTTTTGAGTGTTCTTTTCGGAATCAATTGTCTCGTGAATAGCTTCTAAATGTGCATTAGACAATACTGCTTGCAAATCTGCACCAGAATATCCTTGGGTCTTTTTGGCAAATACTTCCAAGTCAACATCTTCACTCAAATGCATTTTTCGTGATAACGCTTTTAGTATCTAGAAATAATGTCCTAGTTTAATAACGGCCAACAATAAGTAAATGATAAAGTATTAAATTTACCTGAATTCTTTCTTCTAATGAAGGCATATTACAAAAGAGAGATTTATCGAGACGTCCTGGACGCAGCAAAGCAGGATCAATAAGGTCAGGTCGACTAAGAAATAACTATTATCAGCTGAATGTTTTATACTAAGAAATAAAACTAGCGTAATTAAAGTTATTGCCTAGTAGCTGCAAGCACGTAAACCCCGTCCAGCCCTTCGGCTCCATCCATTTGTGTAAGCATTTGGTTTACAACACGATCCGTCACACCAGTACTATCGTGACCTCTGAAATTTAAGAAAATTTCTTTGATTAGCATTAAGAATTTATTATGGAATTAAAATGGTTATAATACAATAACTACCTTTTAGGTGCAATTGAATCGAACTCATCAAAGAATAATACACAAGGTTTGGCTGCCTGGGCTCTTTCAAAAAGATCCCGTACCTAATAACATATACATAAGTTTCAACTTATATCCATACTGAAATGATTACAAAATAAAATACTTACAGATTTTTCACTTGCACCAATATATTTATTCAAAAGTTCTGGACCTTTTACACTAATAAAATTCAGGCCACATTCTTTCGCTACTGCAGAAGCTAATAAAGTTTTTCCACAGCCAGGAAATCCATATAGAAGCAATCTAACAATATGGTAAGATGTAATTTAATTTTATAAGCACAAGTTCGTAGAAAAGTTTATTATTTACCCAGATCTTAATCGAAGCGGGCAATTTGCAAAAATTGGTGCATATTTAGTTGGCCATTCTAGAGTCTCTAGTAGAACTTTTCGAGTTACTTCAAGACCTGAGTATTAAAAATAATAATGGCATTAGGATAAACAATCAAATTATTTAAAATCAACAGATGACCAAATAATATGTCATAATAAGATTCACCTCCTATATCTGACCAACTAACATCTGAGGATTGAAGTTTAACGCCTCGAAGTGAAAATGGGACAAAATCTTTCTGAGCTCTCCGAAAATCATCCTCATCAATAAATTCAATTGATTTTTCTTTCATTTGTCTTACTGCACCCTCGTGAATAGCACGTTCTACAAGTGCCTTAAGGTCAGCAGCCAAATAACCTTCGCAATTGCTAGCAATAGAAAGTAAATCAATTTTGGAAACACTGTTTTTGGCTAATGTAGGACCAGATGACATTAGTGCCCCCAGAATCTGTTGATTTAACAGAAATGGAATTATAATGATTATGATTGGCTAGTAGGTTCAAAAGATGATATTATATAATATCCGCATAATACTTGCGTCACGCCGTTCAACTTTAGTCGGCGGATTCAAATGAGCAATTTCACTTAGTAGATGGCTTGTGGTGAGAAACGAATGAACAGAAGCTTGTTGCTGTGCTGTAGCTAAAATGGCAATTCGATGTCTTTTTTGCATTTTATTGGCAATTTGGAAGAAAATTTCGGCGAGCTGACGGAAACGAAAAGAGTCCATGTGCTAATCGATTTAAATATGGAGAAAACGTATTTTATTATTGTAATTCTGAGAGTACAAAAATTTATTCTAATGCTTACTTCGACTTCAGCAGGTATAAGCCTATCAAGATCATCAAATAGAATTATACTTGGTGCATGCCATGCAGCATCATCAAACCATTGTTGTACTTTTTCACGTATAGTAGATACGCGATCTTCAGCGGCATCGGTGCACTTTATCACCAAGGTATCTATAACAATGAATGACATCATTTTCTAAAGATTCAAGCATAACAATAAAGCTTCAATACGGCAATACATACATGCTAAAGTATCTTTATCGCGACTCAAGTCATGAGCAACAGCTTTTGAAATGCTAGTCTTACCGGATCCATGTCCACCACAGAATAAAAGTCCTCCCAATACTAAAAATCAATCATTAGAGTTTATTTAAAAAAGAGTATTTGTAAGCTCCATGGTAAAACTTACCAGGAACCCCCAAAGCTGCGCGTAAAGGAACACGTGCAAGGTTTGATCGTAAATAATCACGCAGCCTCTGTGTTAAATCGGATACACCGGCAAGTACTGGCGGCGGAGAAATCGTGATAGGTCTAATTATAATTACACAAATTAATATATTATAATAAAAATATCAAGGAAAAAAATAAAGCTTACTGCTTTATAGATTTCGAATCAGGTGTTATATTATCTCCAACTTCTATCTTCACTTTTAACAACTGGTTTTTATCACCAATTACATAAAGATCGTGTAAATCTGACTTTGCATTACGGGTTTCATGCTGAATATTCGCTTTTTTTGGCCCAAAGAATACCACAACATTGGTATTTCCTTGGGGCAAAGGTAATAGTATTCGCATCCCATTTGTAAGCACAATATCAGAATTTTGGGGTAATTCTTTTGCCCAATCTAAAATTTCAATGACAATTCAATGAAAACGTATTAAAAAAAAAAGAAATATTACTAGGGTTTTGTTTACCTTTAAAAGCACTGGTCAAAGAAGACGAAAAGGCTGTTTTTTCAGCTGTCACTCCCGCACTGGACATTATAATGAATCAGGCCAAAATAAATAAATCTTTGAATAGCTACAAGGTTAAAGTAGTCTAAATCCGAATAACAGAGCTTACCTTTGATTTGGAACTAATTTTAACGGCGCCGTTTGATTTGTAGATAAAATTGCACAGAGAGTGAGACTTGAGATTGCAACCGGATTTATTTTTGGCTGAGCTAGTCTGCGTATATTATAATCAGTTAAATTTTTATTGATTATTCAAAAGATCCAAATAAACAGGGCGTTTTATGTTTACCGAATTATCGAGAAATGCTCTGCTTCCAAGATTTCTCTAATAGATTCGCTAACAACAACATGACCAGCCACAACAGCCTCGCTTTGTATAATTTTCGCATAAATTACCAGAGGCCCGTTATTTCCATTTTCACTATCTGTCCTCTCTTCAGATTCTTTATTTTGATGTGGAGAATCTTTTGCCGGGGGTGGAAATTGAACTTTGGATAACCGTGTGATCTTATTGGTCGAAAATCCCAAATTTAGATAATCTGTAGAATTGACGTAAACTGTGCAAAAATTTGTTCCTGATGCTTGAAGTTGTCCTGATGGTAAATATTCTATTGGTAAAACACGTAAACCATATACGTGAGAAATTTTTTCTTCTCCCGTTTGTAAATCTTTAAATTCTGGCTTTGTAAATCCATTCGTTATTAATCGTGGCTTAGGAGCAACGAAAATTTCTGATTCTCCATTAAGTCTCGCAAAAGTTCCAACAGATTTTGGTTGGATTTCCACTGATTAAAGAGAGTAATTAGTCATTTCAAAATCAGAATAATATATTAATTTAATCATATTATTCAATACCGATTTTTAGACGAACAAGTGTCGTTTCTATCCAAAGGGTCACAATTTCATTAATATACACAACTCGTAATTGCCTAATAATATGTTCTTCTAGATACTGTGGCCTTGATTCCTATTAAAGCAAAAACCTCGTTATCATAAAAATTCGATTGAATTTAATTTAATTTAATTTAATATAGTATAGAAAACCGTACCACAATTTCCCAATCATCTACGCTAACCGGCTCGACTGAAACTGAATTAGCAAAAGGTGCTTGATTGCAAAGATTTATAAAGACCTTGAAATATTATACATTTTAGAATTATCACGTGACTTCAACGATGAATAAATTCATACACCTTACTTGTTGACCTTCAGCTATCTTTAACGCATTAGCAAATTGAGGGTCAATTTCTAATAAATTCGGTTGCCTAAAGCTATTTTTCGACGCACCACCAGTCCAACCAACGTAAGCTTTACGTTGAGTTTTTTCTACTGTATCTGTCCAAGTTAACTCAAGTACAACATTTTGTGGAGGCTACATTAAAAAATCAAAAGCTATTATTAAGACACATTTACTAATCAAAAAGAAAATATAAAATGATTCACCCACTTGGTCTTGGTTGTGAAAGAAATTGCACAATTCTAAAGGAAGATTTATAAAACAATTAGTGAGAGAAACGAACGAAACTGTGTGCGATTTTTGTGCCATCTTTGTATTTGATCTAATGGAAAATCAGTAAACAAAAATGATTTTCTATACATTATTATTTATTGTGAGTCGTACAATGATCTGATATAAAAAATGTTGGTTTTCGAAGCAATTTTAACTTATTCAAAAGAAACTTAACAATATATTATGGCGTCTTTCAAGTTCCCGACAATACACAACTTCCCACCTTTTTACAGGTATGTCACGTCAGAAAATTTATTATTCCTATGCGGAACAAAAGCTTGTCTGGGGAAAGTATTGTGTGTGTGTTATTAACGCCATAAATATTAACTTTTTCTTGATAATATAAAATATTCGTTCGTAAAAATCGATTATCATGTTTATATGAAAAGTTTACAGACTACACAGTCGACATGGAAGCATCAGGTTCGGTTCTTAGATGTTTCATACTATTTTGTATCGAGATTCTCGATTTTAAAAGAAATTTACCAATTTAATTATTCTTTAAACCATTAAGATGGCTCATTGGTCGCGAATTATTGTATCATATTTTCGACATTACCGGCTGTATAAACTCGAATTATCAGAGTCACTGAACGGTGAACTTTTTTATAAGAAGACCATAGAGCGTATGTTTTCAAGATAAGAGTCAAAAATTCGAATTCTAATCTTTCGTGAAATTAATTATCTAAATTTTTGCTAGGTCGTTTAAATCTCGAGACACTCCAAGAAATAATTAGTGAAATGGTTAAGGAAGGTAAAAATCGAGTTCCTTTCGAAAAAATATAATCGATTATTTCCTAATTATTTGATTACAGGCACAGCAGAGTGGGATCCTCCAAATAAGAAAACATCTGCAATAATACATTGGCGAAAACCAGAAGAATGGGCAACATTAATTTATAATTGGGTTGGTGGATTTTAATTTTTCTCGAATTATTTGATTCATGATATATGCCAATAATCTTATTTCAAATGGAAGGTCTTCGATAACGGAATGACAAATTCTATATTAACATTATATGAGATTACACACGGAGAGCTCACAGAGGGTTTAGGTATTTATACGTGTATATAATTGATCATTTTATTAGTTTTTTCGATTTTACATTTTATGTTTATTTTTAAAATACTTCCAATTAAATTAATTATAATTAATAAAAAAATATAAAAGAATTTCATAACCTAGATCAAAGTGTGCTTCTGAAAGCATTGGATGTGATAGTGAAACGAGGGCAGGCACAAGTGTTTCAAGGGACGAGCGCTGATGATATGGGTGTTAAGTTTTTTGGCGTGAATTAATTTGGACGAGACTTGAGAGATCACTCTTGTTCTGAGAATATAATTTTTTATTTAATATTTAAAGTTTTTGTTCAAAGATCTAATTATATATTTATAATTAAAGTTCAAATTAATAAATTCAAGAAGAAACTTGCAAGTAAATCTTTGAATTGAAACAAATTTTTATGCTAACTGATTCCTTGATCGAACAAACACCCACTTACCCTTAGAAAACTGTCAATATCGGCCAACCTTACAATTTTTTTCATTATCATTATAGTATTAAGAAAACTTTTCCCCTCTTCACACCTATGTATCAAACAGCCAGCAAATCACCGAAATTTCGCAAAAACGCAATGACTAAACCAAATGCCGCGGTCACATAAACAATTTGGAAATTTCCACTTCGTTTCTCTGGCGTAAAGAATTCTTCGCGAAGAAAGTTTGTAATGGGGCCATTTGCTTCGATGATTTCGTCTTCGTTGAACACGCTCGAGGATCCCTGAAGACTTGGTCCACGGCGGCCATGTGAGGAAGAAGAAGAGCTAGTGATTATGTATGGCTGCTGTCGTGACATTTCGATTTTTATTTCAATGTCTAATGGTTTGCCAAGTTTGTTTATTTTTCATCGTGGAAATTTAGTCATTTGGATTATATGATTTCATTTTACCCCCGGCTTAAAGAGGAAATAAGATATAGAAATTGGCTTCGGGCTATATTCTAGTCATTTAAACCTATTTTTTAATTATATAGGTAATAACGATAATAATATGATGATAGAGAAAATGTTTTACGATAAACCGAGAGCCGAAAATTTATTTTACAGATAATTTTTTTATGTACAGAAATGATGATAGAGAAAATGTTTACGATAAACCGAGAGCCAAAGAGAAAAAGGTCATTTTGTAAGTTATAGAAAGAAAAAATACAAAATATTCAGAGAGATTCATCCTAAACATCTGTATGAATTCCTCTTGGCAATTTTTTCTCGCTTTCTAAATCAGCGCTTCCATCACTATCACCCGAAAGTCGACTTAATGGGGATCTACCAATATCACCAGTTTCAGCTATTATACTTTTTTTAGCTTGGTAATAGTTGGCTTGTTGTTTAAGTTGTCGAGAGAAACGTGATACTACATTCGCAAAATAAATCTAAACAATAGCCAAAACAATCAGAGGCTTATTGATAAATAGAAAATCAAAATCAAAGAGCGATGATTTGCTCACCGTAAATAAAATCCCAAGGACATGAGTAAAGGTTACCACCGGATAAGTAAACCATCGGATAAACTTTGTACACATATTATCAATTTCATCTTGATCAGCTGGTGTTAATGTCTTGTTACCATTATTACTAGCGGTATTATTCATTTGTGTTGAAGAAGGACTAGCATGAGTGATAGTAGAGTTCTCGAAATTGCTGTTTGATTGTTGTGAATTGTTGCTGTTTACATTATTACTCGATGAATTTACATTACTGTTCTCTTGAGGAAATCTTTCAATCAAGCCATTTCTCTTATCAGCAAATTGAGGTTCTCTAACAACTATACTACGTTTCCAAGTCTGTGACCAAGACTTTGATGGGTTATAATCAATTCCCTTTTCCTTCTGTTCGATAAGTTTATCGGTACACATCGTTTTTAGTAAGCCATAATCCTTGTATATGAAAACCAATTCAATCACTGACATTGCAATGGCTAGCACTGCGATTACCCAGAGTAGCAAAGCAAATATGCGGATGATTTTTCGGCTTTTCTGCATTCGAATTTTAGAGTTCAGTAAGAAATCAGAAATCGAGTAACCTTGTTATTCTCATAACTATTGGTAATCAATGGGAATATTCCTTACCGTGATCGCACCCACAAGACCTGAATACCCAATTAACGCTTCAATTGAATACACGACACCAAGCCCAATGCATACAGAAGTCGATAAATAATATTCGCCTATTATTTATTTCACGATCCATCAATCAAAAGTTTTATTGGATTAACAAACTAAACATAAATATTTGCATTTCTCAAATAACATTATGGAAAAATACCGAATGTATGCGCAGTAAATACGGAAAAGGCCAGGATGGTAGATGCAATCTTTTTGTATTCACGTGATCATGAAATGGCTTGGTTAGTATTAATTAAAAATGATGAAATGCAAACAAATTAAAAGAGTACTTACCCCAATAAGTAACGCGATAATGACTGTACCGGTTCGAAGACCGATACTGTTTAAATTATTTGTTAAAATTGGATTTTTTGATAATGTGCAACTACAACTAAAAAAAAACTTTTTTCACAATATTAACGTAACCAACAAAAAAGGCAAAAAAAACTCACCAAAAACAGCATCGTTCGACCATATTTTATTGTATATGCTATTAATGGAACGTCTTGGTCGTTTTGTTTTTTATTCGTGGGAGTTTTGTAGTGAAAGCTAAAAAAAAATAGCCTTCGAAATTCCGTGAGAATAGCAAAGAGCAAAAGCGTCAATTTTTATTGTCGGGACTCTTAAAAACAACATTGCAAAAACAAATATACCGCTAACCAAACCTTTTATTTTTCTATGCGTGCAGGTATCATAAATACCAAAAAAAGGTATCAATATAAGAAATTTTAGAAGCACGCACGACAGTAAAATCTCGTTTTTATATAGGGAGTATGGAGTTCGTTTTTATGTGAGAAAAAACGAGTTAGAGAGCAAAGTTTGCTACTACTCCACAAACAAACAAATTTATTATATTGCATTATGAATTTTATGTTGATTTCGCGCTAAAAAATTTACGGATGTTGAATAGAAGATTACGTGGCTTAGCAAATCGTACAAGCCAGCATTAGTATTTGTTTATTAAAATAGTTTGACAGTTATCGTTATCGTTATTAAAGCATTAAAACAGAGTTTTGATTGTTACTGTTACCTTTACGGCATTTATGCACTCCGACTTTAAAAACATACATAGGGACACAACATTCATTTATGACCTAAAGAGGTAGTCTTTTTAACGCACAATATTATCATTAGATGCCAAAAACCATAGCCACTGCTTGAATTACAACAAAATAGCATAGCCGGTTTTTCGGGCTGTGATCAAATAAGTATTTGTACGATCTATTTTATATTTTGTTTTATTAGATTATTAAAATGGTATTTCAGAATGTAATTACACTTGAAACTTGATGATGACCATCGCTATAATATAATTTAGAAAATATTTACAGATTTAAACTCGAAAGAAAAAAATATACACAAAGAAATTAAAGATTCAGTAAGTAAAGTCAACTTATCGGTTCCTTGAAAGAATTAGTATTCTTCGTGTCTCTCTCTAAATTGATAAAATTCTGGCGGCAGATTTTTTGTTTGTACAGCTTTCGCAATTTCGGCTGGCAAATTATTAACAAATTCTTGCTGTTGTTGTTGCCATTGTATTTTCTGTAGGTCAAAAACGTTGAGTGACGACATTGTTAGTGGTTGGATCGGTTGAGAATTCTGAGGGGAAAAAAATGGTGAAGAGGATTGTTGATACTGCGCCCATTGATTTTAAACCACTTGTTCGATTAACTGCATGTTTTTGTTTAAAGCATATACACAAACAATGATGAAATTGTCGAAATAAGTTACATCACGATGTTGTAGTATTGGCACAAATCCAGGATTACTAGTAGTGGCGGCGGCAAGAGTAGTAGTAGAACTGAGACTTGCGCCGTAATATTGCAAAACATGAGCTGATTCTACGATCTGATAATTATTATATAAGGGACGAATGTATAGACGGACAATTGTACGATCATACATATACAAAGCAGTAACTCGAGAATTTTTGAGCAAATATAATATAATCTTGAGAGATTATATCGTATCAAATTACCTGTTTTTGTTCTTTCCAGTCGAAAATCTCGTCATCTTCTGTATCCATCAATCCATCTATAACAGCACCTATATTACGTCGCTTTTGAAAGGATTTAAATCTTTCTTCTCTGAATAATGTTTCCATTATTTTTTTTCGAAAATCCTAATTCCAAAAGAAATCAAACCCTCAGCTAAAAAGAATAGAATCGTGAATAAAGTCAATAGATTCAATATCGAAATTTTACCTGCATCCAAAATTCTGCATTGAATTTTGAGATCGGTTGGTGGTGCGCATGGGCAGGTGGTAATGAATGACGTTTGTGTTGTGCACCTGTTTTTCCATATGTACCGCGTTCTTCACGTTCTGTTTGGCTTAAAGAACGTCGACGATACGTATTATTTTTTATAGAATGTTCGTATTCACTTGATACTGTTTTCTCCATTTTTTCTTTAAGTGTGATAGATGTCTGTCCATATCGATATCGATATGTCTTATAAGGCGATTGATCAGATGATGCCTTGTAATACGTGAAATAAATTCTCACGACTTGTAATTTCCAAATTTGGTATAAATGGCTATTTATATTTGCGTTTATATTTCCACTTGGAAAAAGAAAACGAGAACAATTTTAATTATCAAAGCGTTTTTCACAGATGTGCCTGTAATATTGTATTCCCCAGTTTTTTCTTCTCGTAGCTTTAGCAATTTCTTTCTACTTTATCGAATTCATCATCCATATGTCTTCATGTATTCCAGTCTATCACATTTCGTTTGTGTAGGCGATCACATAATAAAGTAATGTGCATTGTTACACCTAATTGCAAAAAAAACTGCATATACAACTAGTTCTTTGTTTTCAGAATATCTTGTTTCAGTCCACCGTGTGATGAGATAAACATTACTTTGTCTGAGAAAACTAGAATAAATTTGCAAGAATGCGTAAACTCTATATTCTTCACTTCAACGACATCTACCATTTATCACCGGGAAAACAGGAACCAGTTGGTGGCGCAGCTCGTTTCGCTACCGCAGTTTATGATTTTCGAAAACAATATGACTTGGATAAGAGTTGCGTGTTATTTAGTGGTGATGTTTTTAATCCATCGATAGAAAGTAGTATTAGTAGAGGTGAACATATGGTGTGTAAGATCAAGCGAAAATATGAAAATCAATCAATTAGTATTGAATGTATTTATCCGATAATTTAACCCATCATTCTAATGATGATTACTAAAGATTCCTCCGTTGAATGAGCTCACGATTGATGTCGCTTGTTTTGGAAATCACGATTTTGATTTCGGATTACCAAATCTTGCGAGACTCATCAAAAAAACTAATTTTCCGTGGCTCTTGTCAAATGTTGTTGATGAGGAGACCGGCGAATCGCCAGTTAATGGCGGGAAAAAATGGCATATTTTGGAGAAAAGTGGATTAAAGATTGCATTGCTCGGATTAGTAGAAAAGTGTGTCATCATTATTCTTGCTCTTTTTTTTTGATTATTTGTTTATACGATCTAACTATATAAATTTTAAATTGTAAATTAAATCTCTCGGATATATTGATTGTGGTTTCGCATGTTACTAGAGAATGGCTCGAAACAATTCCCAGGTTATGATTGATTATATATAGTGTGCTTATCTCTTTGATTTAAATTGATAAAAATGTTGACATCACTTTTCTAGTCTCCCTCCAACGTTAAAGTATTTGGATTTTGTGGAGGTTGGTAAAAAACTTGCCGCAAAGCTTCGTGATCCGGCAGGACCCTATGCTGTAGATCTGGTTATTGCACTCTCTCATTCGCGTCTACCAAATGACATTATACTAGCGAAAAAATGCCAAGACGAGATAGATCTGGTTCTTGGAGGGTAAGTGCTTATCCTATTCGTAAAATTTTAAATTCGCTTGATATATTATAAAAGCTGAAAACTATTCTTCCATCTCTATTTTAACAAAGTCATGATCATTTTTATTATGTGGGAAAAGGATGTGAAGTATTAAGTGGTTGGACACGTGATGATCCGGGTGGAAGTCAAAATGATGATGGAGTTCGAGTGGTTAAAAGTGGTACAGATTTTCGAGAATTAAGCATTTTGGAGATTGATGTCGAAGAGGTGGATAACGAAGATGGTGGCACGATTAAAGTCTTAAAAAATATTTCAGGTAATTAGCCTTTTTTTTACACTAATAATTTGATGATGATGATGATGATGATGATAACATAACGATCCAAATAGTTACCCGTCGTGAGATTACTTCTGCTATAATCGAACATACACAACTTGCAGAATTAATAAATCAAGCGACTTCATCAATCACTGAAAAAATGTCAAAACCCATTGCTTATACAAACACACCTTGGGATTGTAGATCAACGACAGTTCGTACTCAAGAATCGGGATTTGGAAACTTTGTTGCTGATCTGATGTTGCATGCGTATGCACCTTGTGTCAATTCTAATATCGATTGCTCTCTTATGTGTGGTGGCGCAATTCGATCGGATAGAATATACCCACGTCTGTGTTGTTCCATGAATTGTTAGTGAATTTTGAAAGCTTATTTGCTTAACAACTTTTTCTGCTTTATAGTTGGTGAAATTACATTGGGAGATATTTTGGAAATCTTCCCATTTGAAGACACGATCGTTGTTGTACAGATCACTGGTCAACAATTATGGGATGCGCTTGAAAATGGATTTTCAATGGTTCCAAAACAGGAAGGACGATTTCCAATTTTCAGCGGCCTCAAAGTCGAATATAATCCAAAATCAGAACCTGGAAAACGACTAAGAAAAGTCTGGTTGACAGCACCGCCTCTTCCAACACCAATATCCTTAGACACTTTAGAAACTGACATTTCGCCAATCGTTGAAGGTGAAGATGCTTCCGAATCCGATAGTATTCCACCTACTCCACTTAACATAATTGGTGAACTTGAAATGGACAAAATTTACACCGTTTGTACACGTGCTTATATGGCTCAAGGCTATGATGGATATCATTCGCTTGCACTACCTAACACAAAATATCTCGTCGATGATGAGAACGGAATAATTCAATCAACTCTACTTCGACGATACTTTATCGGTCTTTATTACGTAAATGCGATGCGGTTCAATAAATCCTGCGAAGAAAGAACGCGTGAAGCAGTTCTTAAAGCTGTTGCTACCTGGAAAAAATTCACCGAAAAGAAAACTGCCACACATGATCGTCACCTGTCGAAACGCGATATTTCTGATGCATTATATTTGTCAATGGGCGAAAAAATAAAATTGACTCAGGCGATAGGTGAAGAAGAATCAAAGACAGTTACTTTGGATTTTATGAAGACCTGGGTTACTGTGGCCCCAGTTATCGAAGGACGTATTGTAGAAGTAGACTATTGAAGTCTTTATTATTTAGAGAAAAAATAGAATAAGTTATTTGTATTTTCTATTCTAAGATTTAAAAAAACTATTGAATGTACAATAAATTTCTTATAGATTGCTTATTCGAATAATATTTGGATGACAATTGAAATTTCACAATTCAGACTTTTTCAACCTTGCTCATCGAAGCTCCATTTATTTTCTTGACTATTACTGCAGATGTCAGTCAGTCCATCATATCGAGCAAGTTAACACGAAAAAATCGTCAATATATAAAGACAACCCGGATCAATATTTTTTTGTAATCTTTATAAGTTTGAGACTAGTTAATCATGTTGTTGGTGGCTTAACATTTTTGTTAAAAACAACTATTATACTTTTCAATGCAATTTTAGTTATTAATATTAATTCACTTTTAGAATTCACATTATATCACAGTTAATTATGAATTTTGATAATTACTTAAATCTTATCAATTATTTAACTTTGTACAAATTATCATAGTGACAAATACTTTATTAATAATAATATTTTATTTAAGAAAAACAAAATAAAAAATAAATAATCACTTTATATAATTAAATTAATGAAATTGGAGATATTCTAAAAGATTAACATTCAAATCTACATGCTGAATATTTGAATATTGAGAACATTTTTTATAAAATTAGCAAACAATATTTTTGAGTTTAAATATAGAACAATATACTAACTTCAATTAAAGTTGAAAAAATTGTTATTGATTTTATTAGATCTTTAATAATCAAAAAAATTATTATATTGTTATGATTTAGATTTTCACTAAATCATAAAGTCATGTGCCATTAAAATCTTATATTCTTATTGGTTATATTTTATTTATATTTTATTGGATATTATTTTTAGTACGCTAAGTTACACA